CTTTACTTTTCCCAGTAATGGAAGTAAACACTACACCAGTGAACAGCCTCCCAGGATCCAGTTACTGTGAGCCAATACGAGTGGAAATCGCCGGCAATGTTTCCTCCGCCGAACCAACTCCTTCCTACAATGAGGTGTCAGACTGCCCACCGAGTCCTATCAACAGCCCCCTCACCACTCCACCCCCCATGCCAGTTGATCGACTTGGTGATGAGCGGGCGGATCTTGCTGCCGGAGATTCCGCGTCCCTCTCCATGTCTGGGCCGGACTTTGACATCACTCCTCAGAAGCGAAAAGGGTGCGGACGTTAATTCATGTCATTATTGTTATTGTGGCAGTTCTCACTAGTGTTATCATTGTATTATTGTAATTCTAGCAGTTATGGATGCAATGGATGTGCCTTTTACAATTTTTTTTTTTTTTTTTTTTTATGATTATTATTTGCATATTTCAATAATATGATTGCTATTGATAACTCATTTTAATTACTGATGTTGTTTTTTATATATTTATTATTATTATTATTATTGTTATTATTGTTGTTGTTATTGTTATTGTTATTAGTACTGATGTTAATATTGTTTTTATTGTTAATGCGAATATTAGGCCTACCCTTATTATTACTAATATTATGATAAGTGATTAATGCTTTTTCAGTTCTCTAGTTACTATTATTATTCTTTTAATTACTAAAGTCTCATAATAGCATGATAGTAGATAAGGTTTATATAATAGATATAATATTTTTATAAATGAACCTCAAGAGTACTTTAAAGTGCTAAAAGATTTCTCTTCCTCTACTATTGTTTACTCACATTTGATTATGCAATGTTGCAGAAGTCAGGTCAAAAGAAGAAGTCAAGGTGGTAGTGCTGAAGTGACACCCAGTAAAGGCTCACCCAGTGAGGGAGAACCAAATTTTGAGGTAATTTATTTCTTGACCGTGTCATTTTTCAACGACTGTATTTGTGGAAATTATCCTTTTTGCTTTTCTCCGTTTTCCTTTCTCTAGCAACGGACATTGGTATATGTGGAGGGTTGGTTTCAGGATCCTTGCTGATGGTAAATTATTTGCTGATAATCTATGCACTTCCTTCCATATGCCTTAAATCAAATCATCTAGATTGCTGACCGATGCCTAATACATTGTTATTGGGATGTAAATACTTATACTTTATTCTTTAGGGAAGAAGAATAAGAGATTAAAAGTAGTATATGATCACCATCACTTTTTCCCTTTCTCTCTCTCTCTCTCTCTCTCACTCTCACTCCTCACTCTCACTCCTCTCTCTCTCTCTCTCTCTCTCTCTCTCTCTCTCTCTCTCTTCTCTCTCTCTCTCTCTCTCTCTCTCTCTCTCTCTCTCTCTCTCTCTCTCTCTCTCTCTCTCTCTCTCTCTCTCTCTCTCTCTCTCATATCCACTATACATGGGTGTGTTACTGAAGGATACAGGATGCCAATTGTATTTACTTTTCTCCTAGATATCGTACTATTTCCTTGCTCTTTCTGTCTTCCTTTCTTGTCCATATTCATAATTAACCTTTAATCCTTTGTCTTTACAGAAAATCTTGAAAAATCTTTATGAGAACACTGCACTGCATGAAAAGATTGCCGAGAACATAAACAAGGGCTTGTTAGGAAACCAAGGCAAGGTGGTAGCGAGGGACAGTGAGCCAGCTAGTAGTCGACTAAGCAGCAGCAACACGATAGGAGGGGATATGGTAGTAGGCGCGGAAGGCAAGGCGAAGTTGGGTAGTGAAACATCGTCAAACGCAGGTGGAGAAGCAGCCCTTATCCGAGAACTGGATCACATCGTCACTGGTATTATCACCGAGACCACAGCAGATCCAGCATTTGAGAACCTTTTAGAAGAAGTCTTTGGTAAGGAATTGAGTGTTTGTGGCTTTAACTGAATGCCTGATATATTTTATTAAGTACTGAGGTATTTCATTTATAGTGTCAAGTACTACCTCCATTGTTATAGTGCTATTTCATTAAACAGCAAAAAAAAGCATACATGCAAACTATAAGAAACTGTTCTAAACTCAGTAGGACCCATTATAACCTACATATATAGGGGTATATCATTTTGGAAAGCCTTAAGCATAGGTTGTAGGAGAAAAGTATGCTTCTTGTTTTCTAAATTCATTCACGTACCTAACTGCACATGCCACCAAGCACAAGGCATGGTATGATGATAAATGTATCATCATTAGGTTGATTATATTAATGTTGGATAAATGTTAAAGCTCTTTGGTGGGGCATAAAATTTAACAGGTTGCTAAGTAGTCATTACAGTCTACTACTAGTATGAAAGATTTTTAAATAATCTGTTTTGTTAAATTACAGGCACAAATTCTCCAAATAATTCTCCTTCCAAAATGAGCACTGTTTCGCACATGAGCCAAGACAACACAGAAGATTCGTTACATGAGCCAGCAAGACTTCTTTCCACTCCCGTTCCACCACCCCCTACCCAGACAGAAATACGCGAACCCCACATGTCCTCCAATCCCCTCTCATCTCCTCCTCCATCCCCACCTCCTTCTCCTCCTCCACATCCATACGAGTCCCCTCATTCCTCAGCTTATCACCCTTCCCCTTCCTACTGCCCATCCCCCTCTATGCATTCTGCTGCCCCTCCAGTACCCCATTCCAGCCCCAAACGAGGTCCTTCTCCACACCTTGCAAGCTCCTCACCTTCCCACTCGTCCTCTGTGGTGAAGGAGACAGAGCTTTCTCCTCAAATGGCTTGTGAAACCAGGAGGACAAGAAGCTCATCCAAACGGGACAAAGCATCCTCATCAGGTAAAGACATGAAGCTAGACAGCAGTAAAACAGCCACCGACACTTGTGGGAGTCAGTCACCAGTAAGGTAATGCATTATTGTTTTTGAGTTGTCACATGCACTGACTTTACTATATTACTGGAAAGTATTTTCATTCAGAAATATTATGTATTATTGACTCCTGTATATGTATGTCCATAACTACATGTATATCTTCCATTGCAACATTTCAGGTTTTCTGAGTCATCCAGTAGTATTACAAAATCTAACACCTTAGAGAAGAATAGATGCAGTGCAGATGCATCATCTTCAGACCATACGCAAGGATCAGCAGGGAAAGGAAAGAAAAAGGGGAAACGAGGCATGAGGAATTCAGACTGGAAGGAAGATGAACAGAATCTTGGGGATCAGCTTCTCCAAGAGTTTGCAGACTTTCAGTCATCCCGTTCACAGAGGATAAGTGAAAGTGACGGAAGTGTTGGGTCTGATAGGACGGATTTGAACAAATTAAGTGATGGTGCATCTCAGTCCCAAGTTACAAATCTTCCAGACAGTGGATCATCCTCAAAGACCACCTGTGAAAAACCCACAAATAATTTGGATAATACAAATGAAAACATTCCATGCATAGGTGTAAGTAGTTCGGAAATGCTGCAGCAACAAGTTGATAAAAATGTAATGGAATCTGAACTTCTTCCACAAGCAGCTACAGGAAGTCCAAATAACCTAAATAGTCAAAATATGTCAGCTAGTCCATGTAGAAGTGAGAGTGATATAAATGGTAAGAAGCCTGAAGAGGGTGCTGTCAGTGGTCATTGTCAAAATAACATCATAGCTGGTGAGCAGTCTCAGCCACCGAATGGCAATCAACCTGTCCAAGAAGGCAGTGAGGGCATTCAAAATAATTTAGATATGATGTCAATCATGCCAGGAAACTCAAATATTAATAGCAACTCAATACCAGGAATTTCTCAGGGTGTCCCAGGAACTACAGTGAATAACCCAATGCCTAATATCGAAAAACCTCCTTTGACAGTCAGAAGTACAACAGTGCCTGGTTTGATACAGAATCCACCAGTAACTAGTCCTAATTACGAACAGCAACAGGTACCCAATGATTACTACACCCTAACTGAATTGACTCCAGTTAACCCAGCACAACTTGCTTATGACCCATATCCTGTAAATCAAAGCTACCCCTACTATTATGAGCAAAATAACACTAATGCTGTTCCACCAACATACATGCAACCCCAGGTTAACAACCAATGGGGAATGAATCCAGTGACCAATGTGAATAGTATTCCCTTTAGTGATGTCAATACCAACACCTGGCAGCCTCCCGTACAGGCAGCGGAGACAGGTTTTAGTAATACCAATACTGAAAAGCCAGATGCGGCACCATCACCATCCCAAGAAACCAGTGAAAGCCAGCTGAGCAGTTGTACGACATTCACTATACCACCAGAGGTGAAGGAGAACTTGAGTCAAGGTCAACTTGTTACCCTTGGATCAGGTAATATTCTCTCTCTCTCCTCTCTCCAATTACCTTTGTGTAAGGACCTGTGATGAGTATTTTTATTCTAATAATTCTAATATTATGTGATAAAGGAACTTTCCTAACTTTTTTCTCTTTTCTTTTTTTTTCAGGTCCATCTACTGTGACATTATTCCAGTTTCCAGTTGGTACAAATCTCAGTGCACAAAAACAGCAATACAAAAGAAAATCCAGTGGATCTAGTAATAAAAAGAAGGGTAGGCAGACAGGGAGAAAGATTTTTGGGTTATGTAATTTTGATTTTCTATGTCTACATGCATCAATGAATAGTTTATTTCAAGAATTTTATTTATAAAAAAGGGGGGGGGATATCAATAGATGAAAACTAAACAGTCTTTTATTGCAGTAGTGCGGAGAGCAACATACCAACCAATTGTTCCAAAGATGCCACCGCCTGACTTATTGTTGATGAACTCTGGTAAGTGTGTGTGTGTGTGCATGCGTGCATGTACTTCCTTAACCCTCCCTTTTTGTACCAATCTCTGCTCTAGTGCACTTCCCTTTTTTCCCTTTTCACTACCATACTATCATGTAATTCTCTCTAATCTTTGACATCAAACACATTTTATCCTAATCTACCTCCTCTTTAGCCTTTCTGACACAATACCTTACCATATTGCTATATGACCTTTGATGTCTAGCACATTTATTTGTTTCTAACATTAAACATTTAACATCTGTAGATATTGTAAGAAAGAAAAAGATGAAAAATATATATATTTGTGTATTTACCTTTTTTATTGCTTTTTATTTTGCAAATTTTGTGATTAATCAACTGATTGGAAAGTTGAGCTTTGATTTACATTCTCAATATTTATTTTTTGTCTTTTCTTAATTTGTAAAAACATTCCTGTTTCAGTGTTTGATAATGCTGCAACTACAAAATCTGCCTCTTCAGTGAATTCACCTTCTGTAAGCACAGCGTCTTCAGATAAACCTTCCACCAGTGTGTCATCATCAAATCCATCTTGTGGCAGTGCATCAACATCAGCTTTACCTCCAGTCACAATAACCATGGAAAATGATATCACCATATCTATGCCACAGATTAGCGCAGGTTCCTCTGTTGAAGAGACTGGAGGGAAAAGTATAAAGAAGTCACCAAAATCAATCAGTAGTTCAAGGAAAGGCAGGGTTGTCAATGTGACAAAAGTTAAGAAACGAGGCTTAGGGAAGGCAGGCAAGAAGGCCAAAAGATTACAGCAGAAAGTGGATGAGTCTGTCTTGAACAACAACATTGTGGCAACAGCATTTTCCTTTGCCATTAACTCTGTAACCCCAGGCAAAGAGGATTCAGAGTCTGGAAAATTGTCAGATGATGCTTCTTTCGCCATCGATGATTCTTGTGGAATGACAATGCCAGAAATTTCAGAGCTAATGGATCCTAATGTTCTTCCTCCAGAGGAACCAGAAGTGGCTGTGGCCAATGATGCAGCTCAGCCTGACAGTGATAATGTGACTGAGGAAGGGAGACCAAGTCAAGAGGTGCAAAGTGATAGTGCCTTAATTGTTGAGGGACAAAAGGAGAATACAGAACCAGATTCCTCAGCAGTAAGCAGTGAGAGCACTGGGAAATCTCCAACCTTAGTCTGCAGCGGAGGAAGATCTCCACAGCTGAAGGCTCTTCTCTCACTTTCAAAGAGCATTTCACCTTCCAAGAGCAAACTGGTGCGGAACAGAACAGTGTCGGTGCATGAAAGTCCGTTAGTTCCGGGTCTCCCCAAGAGAGGCAGCCAAAGTACTCCAAGTCATAAGAACAGTCATGTGAGGGTATTAGACTTTGGCACACCACAGAAATGGAAAAGCCCAGATCGTTTACCTGGTAGAGCAATGGCAAGTTTGAAGTTCTCTCCTCCTTTGAAGAAGAAGAAGTCCCCCAAGAAATCAGTACCATCACCCCTTAGCAGGAATTCTAAATTCTCCAAGATTTTGTCACCAAAGAAAATGATTCTTAAGAAAATATTAGAGGAAACGGAGAAGGAGCAAGCATTGGAGAATGAAAAGGAGAGAAAATCAGTTGAGGAAAATTTGGAGAGTGAGGTTACTGCAGCAAGAGAAACCCAGACCGAAAAAATACCAGTTGCTTTACCAAAGAGTAAGAAAACAAGGAGAGGGTCTACTAGTTCAGTGAGTGATCCTGTCCCGGCTAGTGAAGTCCACCATAATGTTGAGACAGAGGATGAAGAGAGCCTAATTCTTCGCATAGATGATGAAGATAGCTGTAGTTCAGATGCTGGAACCATCACAACAGAGACAACAAGCATAGAGCTCTTTGAACTTCCAAAAGAAATGGAGAGTGTGAAGCATAGCCAGCATAAAAAGTCTTCTTTATCTGACTCTCATGCAGTTCCTGTTACAGAAAATGCTGCAGGTATTCAGGGAGGGAGTGCAGTACCATCATGTGTTTTTAGTAATTATGATTCAGAAAATTCTAATCTTATTACTCCCTGTAAGCCAGATGATATGGGTCTTGTTTTCTCTGGAGGACTGTTACCAGTAACCCCTATGTGTCTGGAAGCGCCAACACCTCTCTTGAACAGTATACGAAGTGTAATGGGTATACAAAATGGGGAGCTCAATACACCTCTCCTTCCAGCTGTCCCAAAGACACCTGCCGGGAAAACTCCTCTAATCAAAGATTATCCCCAAGGCCCATACTCAAATAGCTCAGCTGGCACTTCCTATTACCTGCCATCAGAAAGATCTGCGACAGACTCCGATGGTTACTCTCCATCAAGACTAGAAACTGTGTGGGAGAAGACCCTTGCAGAGACCTGTGACATGACCCAAGAGAGAAATCTTCACAATGAAAATTTGAACCTCAGGTCAAGTCCAAGAAAGAGCCCTCGCAAAATGTCCCAGAAGGAAATGGGTGAGGCCATTGAACAAGATTTATTCAGGCTTTTCCCTGGGGATGTGGTTGGAGCTGGCTCAAGCACAACTTGTACTACAGATACTGCCGCAACAAGTGTCCCAGCACCCCAGGACACCAACCCTCCCAAGGCCAAGGATACTTCAAAAGGTAAAGAGGGTAAGAGAAGGAGAATCCCATCCAAAAAATATCAGCATCTGGCCGAATCTGCCTGCTCTGATGATGACTTTGAATTGCCTAGAAGTGCCACTCCCAGCTCAGAACTCAAGCGGAAAAATAGGTCACCGAGTGATGCAGCAGTTCCTAAAAACAAGTCAAAGAAGTTAAAAACGGTAGCAGGCAGTAGAGGGGAAAACAAAGGAAACGAGGCAGTTCCAGAGACCCAAAAGAAAGATTTGGCCCCAAAGACTATGAAGAATGTGCATGATACAGTTTGTGAGAAACAAGTAGACTCCAAGAAGAAACAGGCAGGAATGGGAAAAAGTCTTAGGAAAGCGTCATCTGCATCTACATCATCCTCAGAAAAGGAAAGAAATTTAACCAAAAGTTCTGAAACAAAGCCTTCAGAATCTGATGATTCATGTAATCAAAAAACACCCAAACACAACAAATTTGATTCACAAAAGATTATTAAAGATTTTACAGTAAGCTTTAATGCTGAACAGACAAGTAGCCCTAGGCAAATGCACAGCATTAGTTCAAGTTCAAGTTCTGTGATACCAGGCAACAGTTTCAGTAAAATAGAGTCCAAGATAGCATTATCAACAGGTGATAAAGGTGAAGGTAATATGAATATCCATATAGAAAAACTAAATAGCCAGAAGGAAAATGACACTGCTGGTAATTCTGTGAACAAATCAAAGTCTAATGATGAGAGATCTGATGATTTGCAAGATGTAGGTGACAAGATAAATGAACCTGTGGCAAAACTAAAAGAAAATACTTCCAAGACCATAAAGAAAGTTCCATCAGCTGAAAAGGAGAAGGTAAAAGTAAACAAAACTAGTGAATCAAAGGCTCGAGTTAGCCACCTGTTTGGATCTGATGTAAGTTTCTCAGATGATTCGGATGAACTGAGCTGGAGTGGACCTGCTAATGAGAGAGTACAAAAATCTCCACTAAAGATAGCTGATTTGGAAGAACCAAGCATTCTAAAAGAGACAAGTAATGTGGTGTGTGGCAAACGACGTATTGGAAGAGGTCGTGGTCGGCCTCTAAAAACTGCCCTGCCGATATCTCCAAGAAGATCAGAGAGGACGGCAACCACAAGTCAGAGAAGCTGTTCTAGACAAGCCTTAAATGCAAAACAAGCATCACCCAGAGGACGTAGCAGGGGCTCCCATAGCAGCGGCAGTAGCAGCAAGGAGTCAGGCAGTGGAATGCCAGTTTCGCAGATGAGAACAAGGTCCAAGTCTCCAGCAAATGAAAAGAGTGTGCCAGAGGAGGTTAGCAGACAAATGACCAGTGTCAGACGGAGAGGAAGAGGGGCCCGGTCACTTGCCAACCGGGGTCGTCCTGTGAGGAAGGACCAAGACTCAGCTAGAGTGTTGGATGAGCAAGATACATTAGAGAGTGACATGGAGGCTGATACCACTGGAAAGCAGAAGATGCCATTTTCTGTGTGGGGTGCTGGTTTAAAATCCCCTATTGGTACAAGTAAAGGCAAGAGTCCTACAAGTTCAAAGGAGGAATTGCATAACCGTTGGAACACAAGCATTGCCTCACACTGCACTTTCTCTGACATCAACATAACAGACACAGAGGATGAAAGTCCTGGCAAAATTCTGCGACAGAAGACCCCAGAGCATTTTGTCCGGTTTCCCAAGTCAGAAACAGGCAAAAAGTTCATGGAGTCTGACTCATCGGGCTGTGCTCGCACACTGTCCTACAACAACAACAATAGCAGTCACAAGGAAGGCACCCCAAGGATCAAGAATAAGGATCTTGGGGAAGTTCATAACATCACTCCAAGTTCGCGGAGACATATTCGCAGTGCTTCATCAAGTGCAGGTATTGTTTATTTTTTTACTTATCTTGAATTATAATGTTTGATTTGCATTTATTATGAAAATACCTGGTTTAATAGATTGTCAAAGATAGTATAAAGTACAATATTTTGCATATGATGTAATCCATTATATATAATGCTTTATTATATATAATGAATAATAGTATGTTATATGTAATGCAGTACCAAGTGTGTTTGGAGTCAGCTGCTTGAGTGGAAAATATGGAGCACAGGAAACATAAATTTAACCATCTCTCAATGCTTTTTTCTGTAGCACAAAAGTTTGTATAGGTAGTGAGGCTAAAAAGAGGCAATCAATACTTAAGAGGTTGGCACCCTATAGCAGAGCCAAACACGCAAACAATTGCTTATCACACAACTTAGAGGAGGCTTTAACAAAATAGGCTGTCATCTCGACATAATGGATGATCACCCATGACATGATAGGAAGTCACCTTATATTTAGTGGATTAATGAATAGATTCAATTTTTTATTATATAAGCATAAGGTTATACTGAATGCAGTATAGCAGCTGCACCTAGGCCCTTCTGAAACATTTATGTGGGGAAAGATCCAAGATTGGAGATATTTAATCCTAATCCTTATCATTCTTTCTTGGTGTACCATAAAGACTTATGGAAAATATAAAGCAACTAGAGCATCTGTTGTGTTAAATTAGAAGAGTTGTTAACTTAATTAAAGAGATAGCAATATCTGAGGTAGCTCATGTGTTAGAGAACACGGATAAGCTGAAATGTTTTCAGTACAGCTGTAAGATAAATGGGGAATCTGGGGGAAAATCAGACCACTGTACACCAGATAATAATTTTGTTTAGGAATATTTAAAGTTGACATGAAATTATGTATTGCCTGGGGTTGATTTGTCATGTTGTTCCTCATCTTCTTTTTCTTTTTGTTTTTCAGTTGATACTACTATTAGGATGATTTTTGCTGATATTATTATTGTTATTAGTATTAATATTATTGGTATTGTGTTATATAATTTTTTTCCAATTTACTTTGTTTATGTTTATGCTTAGGATTTTGATAATAGATTTTTTGTGTGTGTGTTATTGTTGTTATTATTATTACTGCTACAAACTTAATCATACCTTTACGTCTATTTTGGATTTTTAAAGTATGGGAAGTTTGGACACTTTTTTGCAAGATGCCTTGTTTTTATTAACATGTACGCTAACTGAGAAAAACAGTTGCCATGTTTCATGCTTTAAGGATAAACTAATTTTAGATATTCTGCTCCCTTTTTTTTTCAGAATCAGCAACAGAGGAAATATCTCAAGACGCTCAGGAGATTACCTCACACTCACCAAAGAAGACAGTGAGCAAATCTACCAATGGGAGCCATTCTTTATCAGAAACAAGGAGTACAAAATCTTCAAAGGAAAATACCCCCAGTGAAGTTGCTCTGAATGAAGATCCACCGCCCACAACCACTGAGGACGCAACACCCATTAAGTCATCCAGCGAAGGCAGCTCTCCCTCCCCATCAACAACGTCAGAGGCATCAAGTTCTGAGAAGTCTGGAGTGTCACCTCTCATGCAGTTCAAACCCTTGCCAGCCACACCAGAGAAGGAACTGGGTCAGATTTGTCAATCGATCATCAAGGAAAACAATGCCATGGTTGCGCTCCCCTCACCGAAGGGGCAACAGGAGAAGGAAAGGCATATGGATCAGTCTGGTGCCTCAAGAACCAAAGACAGTGTTAAAAGAATTCTCAACCTGAGTACAAAGAAAGCAGAAAGAAGTGTGAATGAAGAGAAAATGTTAAAGAAGGGAGCCCATGAATCATTGCCTAGGAAGGAGAGTGAAGATATAGAAATGGTTAATGATAATGAAAGCAATACCTCTGATACAGTGAAAGGCACTCATTCAGATGGCAGGGGTGATTCCCATGAATTAAAAACAAAGGTGCCAGATGAAAAAGGCCAAAAAAGAATAGGTGAGGAACAAGGAAATCAGTTGCTGGCAGGACAGAGGGATAACAAAACCCTTCGTGGAGGCTTAGACAAGGATAACAGTTGTAATTCTAAAGCCTCAGAAAAAGGAAGTACAACTTCTCTTGGCAATGTCGTCAGCCCAGAACATTCCTCAAATCAAAGTTTTATATCAGAAGGCAAAATGACAAAAGAAAACCTGTCCCCTCAGGAGAAAAATGTTGAAAGCCATAATGCTAGTGAAGTGATTGAAGAAGAGGAAGACTGGGAAGACATGATCAGTTTACAAACATCTGAGTTCATAGATTTGTTTTCCCTTAATTTAGAACCAGAGAAAGTCACCCCAAAACCATCATCAAAGGCAGCTAAATCTAGGAAAGGAGTGATTTCTTCAAAAGCTAAGAAACCTGCGAGTCCTAATGCCGGCAGCAGAATGGCACAACAGAAGAAAATAAACAATAGTCCAAAAATCAAAGAACAAAATCATAACGAGGCAGTACCAGGTTCAGAGCGAGGCAGTGGGTCCCAGAGCTTGAGAGCTGAAAGCACTGAAATGACAAGGGAACGAGGGAACAAGAGATTAAGGGAAGAGACATCACCGAGGGATGCAGTGGACCCTGCAAAGAAGAAAACGCCAAGGAGAATTCAGCCCATCAAGATTGGTGAAGTGAATGGGGTCAGGAAGGACAGTATTAGTAAAAGGAGTGCTGACTATAGAAGTACCGGTCACAGCTTTCCATCCGGATTGAAAAGTAGTCTCGGGACGGTGAACGGGGAGATGATGTCAAGTGGGTAAGTAATGAAGTTTTTGTTGTGTTTGATGGGAGGGGGAGGAATGTGGCATGTTTGCTTTATATGTTTTATTTATTTATATCTATTCATTTATAATTTGTGTGGATATATGTTTTAATGATGTAGATTTGTGATATGTGAAAGTTTGTCTCCCCTCCCTCCCTTTCCCTCCCTTTTCCCCTTTTTACTATATATTTCTCTGTTTTCACCTTACTTACACAATGAATGATGAAAATGCAGAATAAGAAATGCATTTATATCTTCTCTGTAATAGACCTTATACCTAGAATATACCTCTTACGTATTTTCAGTTATCAGAGTAGTATATGCTTGTTTTTTTTTATTTGTTTTTTTTTCACATTGGTTTTTATTTTTGTTTGCAGTTTAGAGGAGAAGGAGGACAGGTCAGAAGTTTTCTCAGAGAAAGTTAGAAGGCGGGATTCTGTTGCCCATAAACGAGAATCTCTTTTAGTCACAGGTAATGGAAAAGTGCATATATTGCATATATTCTTATTCATTTTTTTCCTCCCATTTTCTTCCTTGTAGGTGCATGAATGTCTTTTATTATTATTGTTATTGTTGTCATTATTATTATTATTATTATACATTTGTTTTGTATTTGTTTATTTACAAGTATAGGCTCATAGAAATTTTGATTTTCTGTAGGTCTTGCTCAGGTTTTATGATTTTACAGTTAGGAAAACTTCGGACATACTACTTCATTAGTATTTATCATGGATTTTTGACATTACCTCCAATAATTTGTAAATCAAATTTATACAGGTGGTGGAGGTCAAAGTGAGAGAAGTGCAAGCTCTCTGTCTAGCACAAGCCCGGGACACCTACACATCTCGGAGTCTCCCATGGGTTTCGAGGGCTCTCCAAATGCCCATTTGGGGAAAACCAGCTCGCCCCATCACTTTGCCCCAATTAAGCTACCCCAAGATATAGAACCTTTGGCTACCCTTGAACCCAGCAGCCAGGGTCAGAAACAGTTGTCCACAGAGCCTCTCAACCCCAGTCAGATGGGAAAGGAAACTACTGTGGATCCAAGAAGTAAAATAAAGGGCATGACGCACACAGCCTCAGCCATCTCGAAGGTGCCAGGAGTTGTTCCAAATGAAGCAGAGACTTTAAGAGAGACCGATGATAGCTTAGTTGTTAACAGGTATGTTTTTATTTCCCCTAAATTCCTATTCTGAAATAATTTGTTTGTTAGGGAAAGAAGTTAAGGTCTTATATAAATCTTCTTGTATGTTCTGTTATGTTCTGATGTTCATTTAAAGCTATATACATTTGTAGTTTGCTTGTTTTAAACTAGTAAGTAAAATATTGTAAGGGGTGCAGGAAATCTTATTTTGCATTTTGATATGACTAACATAAAGAATTGAAGAGCACTCTTATTGTTCTTTATTAGATGTTAAACTTAAATTATTCCTTCCTCAAGCAGACAAAGGCGGCCACGACATATGGCCCAGGAGTTGTGCAGTGGTGGAAGTCTGGAAATAGCAATGAGACCAGATAAACCAGTAGCAATTGTCACAAAACATGGATCTGAGGTAAGTCAACCTAAATATGATTTATTCATAAAGTATCTGTCTGTATTATGCCATTTAATCTTACAAACAGCTGTTGTTCTACTTGCTAGAGCATTAGACCCTACCCAGTACAATGATTAATCTTAACTGGTTTAGAAGCAATCCACTGTAAATAAAACTTTCACATTACAGTTATATAATTTACCTCTCCTGTACTTTCCTCTCAGTAACTGTATTTCAATTTCAGTTTCAGACCAGTAGTGTCCACCTTAGTGAAGAAAGTACAAGCAGTGTAATCTCCATGCCTCCAACCCCTGGGAAACACCTGTTTGGACCTCCTCCGACAGCACATACAATCAGTCCAGCAGGCAGTTCATCACAGTCCGAGTCTGGGCTGATGCAAGGGCCAATAGGTGTGCCACCCAAGAAGCGCAAAAAGCAAGATGTTGCTGAAAAAGTACGTTTGTTCATTCTTTCTTTCTTTTTCTTCTTTCCTTAAAAAAATAGATATATAAAGATTATATAAGATGATGATGATAACCACCTCCTTAAAACTGCTCAACATTAACTTCCTTCTCCACCCACCCACCAACCATTTCCACTTTTACTTCTATCACAAATACTGTTACCAAAGGCATTATTGCTGTTGCATAAGTGAACTTTTCTGTGTTCAAATATACACATACATATAATGATATGAAACTTAACTGAAGAGCAGTGAAAGTGAAAATAAAATATCGTTGGACTTTCAAGTGGGACTTAGTATTATGTAATTCCATCCTTTTTCTCTAAATACTTGTGAAAAACAGCAAGTAAATATACAGAATCATCAGTATTTCAAGAAATTCTTTGATTGTAATCAGTGTTCTGATTTTTTTATTGTTTTTTTCCAGATTAAGTTGAAAAAAATGCAAAAACTCATGAAGATGACAGACTTTGATAAGTTCCTGGAAAAAATACATCGGTGAAGAAGGCATGCTTAGTGGAAAATATCAAGTCTCTCCTGCTCCAAAAAAGGAAAAATATTAGGAAAATGGTATCTGGTGCTTTGTTGCTGTTGTTCTCAAAAGACAGATCTAAACTCACCACATACAGAGAAGTTAATTTTGATGATGTGAAGAGTTACCAGTGTAAAGGAGGTCTACCTTCACAGAGAAATAGGAATAGTTAGTGCCCATTTGGACATCCTTTTATTTCTCATATTTTCCTCATGTACATCGTCTCTTTTTCATCTTAACTTCATTCCTGAACGTACCTTCTCTTCTGCTCTAGTCCAGCCTCCACTGCCAAACTTCTCTTCACATTTAATGGTTTAGATTACGTTGTTCCCATGTCTGATCATCGACGGTGCTTCGTGATGGGTAGAGTCTTCCCTCCAAAGCTTTAATGAAGAAGAAAAGAAAGAGGAAAGAAAAGAAAAATGGATATAAGCTGCATAGAGTATTTACAAAATCCCACAGAACTGTAGGAATCTTCATGCTGGGCTTCCTCACCATTGATGATAGGATCCCAGCTGCTCAAGCCTACAGCAATTTTATTTGGTTTGAGAAATGTTGTGCCATGGGTGAAATAGCATTTACTATTTTTATTATTCATTTATTTATTGTTTTTTATTACTGTGTCAGGCTAGTGACTTAATACTTGGTGCTTGTGGCTGTTGCATTGACATTTTATAAAAGGGTGATGGAGATTGCAAAAATGGAAGAACACTTCCTTTTATCATCCATTAGGTTCTGTGTGCTGTGACTTACCTCATGTTTTGTAAGTACGTATTTGTTATTTTCCTCTTTAGGGGCTTAGGTGCATCACAAGGAAATTAATGAGATTCTGCAGTATTATTTGTGGAGGGGTTACATTGGGAGACATTGTACATTACTGTGTGTTTTTCTTTTCATATTTTTATATTGTAGATTTTACTTTGTTACCAAAGATTTGATGTAGTATCAGCAAATATCACAGAATGCACTAGGTTTCAGTGAAAAAAGTGAGTGCATTTTTTATTTTCTTAATAGAAAATGCATAGGGATATTGGTGCACAATTCTTTGATCTTGTAAATGGTTGTTTGGTGAAACATGGCCTTGGAACCTGGGTCATTTGCAGTTTGTCCTTCAGTCTTGAGTTATTATTAAGGTCACCTCTATCCATCTTTTCCTTTTGTGCATTATTGTGATCTATTTATATTACTTTGCCACTCTGATAATCTTGTTATAAATTAATATGTATATAAACTATGTAGTAAGTATAGTTTTCATATCATTTGTTTGTTTTCTTTTAACATACAAATCATACCTTACAATGAATAGTTTATTTTTTGCTCATATATATATACTGAAACTCGCGTTATAGTGATACTGAACCCTATAACCTCATCATTTTTTTCTTTTTCTTTTTTTTTATTACCACTGTATAATTCTCTCAGTATTAGTCATATCATGTACAAAAGTAACAATATGTAATATATTTTTATATCATGCAATGGAGCCCTACATGTATATTTTGTATTCAGAGGTGATGTCAGAATAATCTGAATTAGCTGTGTATAACAAGGAAATGCAAATAGAATTGTCTCCAAGAATACCTGTGTTTCATTACAGAATGCTTTAAAGTATTTTGATGTCCAAATACCATGTTTCATGTAACATCCCTTCTCCATTAACAGGGAACATATATTGACCTGTGATTGACAGCAAGTTATGAACTTTTTGATGCTCTGCAGGCTTGGATGAACCAAAATGAAGTCTGCTTAAATGTAGTTGGGTGTGAGGTCTTCGGGAGCAGACAGTCTAGAGAGGCTGACACAAGACTTAAGAGTGGGGGAGTGGATAATGTGTTCTAAGTCATAGTATCAATTGTTGAGATACCCATGTTTATACTTTGGTACTGATGAGTCAATGCCTCAGAAATTAATAGCTGAATACAGGAAATGTATCTTCTGAACAGATAGTAATTTATAGAAAGCAACAATATGCATTGTAGATATGTTTCATAAGTACCTTTGATAAGGGAGCTCTGGTGGAAGCATTCTCTAGAAGTTTTATCTCTAATAATTGTAACAGGTGTCAATTTTTGTTTCCTCAATCAGGAATTGTATGGGACTCTAATTGAATAACCCACTTCACTCATATAGATCCCAGACATGTATATATATATATATATATATATATATATATATATATATATATATATATATATATATATATATATATATATATATATATATATATATATATATATATATATATATATATATATATATATATATATATATATATATATATATATATATATATATATATATATATATATATATATATATATATAATATATATATATATATATATATATATATATATATATATATATATATATATATATATATATATATATATATATATATATATATATATATATATATATATATATATATATATATATATATATATATATATATATATATATATATATATATATATTATAATATATATATATATATATATATATATATATATATATATATATATATATATATATAAACTGCTTTTTCTCAAGGCTTCTTACTTCTCCCTCTATTTTTGCTCGAGGGCTTCTTCCCCTCTCCCTCTACTTTTTTGAGGGCTTAGTGTTTTTCTTCAATGGCATTTCCCTTACCCCTCTTCTTTTTCTCGAGGGCTTCTTACCCTTCCCTCTGATTTTTCTCCATTAAGCAACTCTTTTAAAAGACTTGCCAATTCTAAAATTTTCTTGCTGCTCTGGCTACAGAACTGTAAAAAGAGTACTCCCAAATTTTCTATTTTCTTGCTGATCTTGCAGTAGAACTTTTGAAAGAGTTTTTTCAATTCTTCAATTTTCTTGATCACGTTCAACAGTTTTATTATTTCTTTCATGTCTAGGGAATGCACTGCTACCTCAAACCACTTAACCACAGAAGTATCAAAGTGCTTCAGCACAGAAGTAAGATCAAGTTGCCTCAGAAAAGAAGCAAGATCAA